GGTTTTCCTTTGAGTGTGCCAATTACTCCCCCCCACCCCCAGACAAAATCTGCTTGGCTGGCAAAAGTATGCCTGAAAAATATATCCTCTGCAGTATGGGAGAATGACTCAGCATAGGAATCCAGGCAGTTGCCCTCTGAGCTCAATCTCCAGAACTTGCAACCCTGAATTCTCCTCACAGTGTTCTAGTGCACTCTGCCCTTCCTCTGCCAGAGCACAGTGTGAGTGCTTGTACACAAAACTTTGTGCATTGGCTCTTTAAGAAGGTGCCTGCATTTCCAGCCATCTCTCCCTGGCAGACAGAAGCCCTGCTTCTCTTCACAGCCAAATGTATGTGGACACCTTTCTCAGTTCTGATACTCTGGTATGAAATCCTCACACCTGAGATATCCCTCTGGACCTTTGGCTGCTGCCTCTGGGAGCCCAGCCAGCCCTCTCACCCCTGCACTTCCTACCAGTCTTAATGTGATCTCACTTTAGGTCCTTGGTTATGAGGGTACTCTCTATCTAGTTTTCAGTTGATTATTCAGGACAATTTCTTTACATTTTATTTATAATTCCAGTTTGGTCCTGGGAGAGTTTCAGAGTAGCTTCCACTTAATCCTCTGCCATCTTGGTATCCTATAATTGAATTTTGTCTGTTATTGGCCTGTTTGTGTGTGGGATTGACCCTCAGGATGGCTGACTATAAGGCTCAACTCTCACCACAGCATGTGATCTGCTGTGCAGGTGCTGGCCTCAGCAGTGTTTGATCCCTGCTGTGATATATATATATTTTGATATATTGCTTGATAACCATATTGGATCCTGCTCTGATGTTCTCTGAAGTGGACCAGTAGGTGTGTTGGTCCTGGGCATATTGGGAGGGACTCTGGTGCAGACCAGTACAAGGTGCTTCTTGTGACTGACCTTGGCAATCTGTTTGGAACTACAAGCTATCCACTGTTTGTAGCTTCCTCTGCTACATCTGGGTCATGCAAGAATGACCAAGCTGTGCACTAAAGCTGGCTTTTACCATCTCCAAAACCAGTATTAGTTCAGCAAAAGCCCCAAGGCACCTTGAGGTCCACCTCAGTCTGGCTTTGCTTGCTGCCTGCCTTTTAGGGTCAGTGACTGAAAGAGCCTCTGGCTGTTCTCTGCAACAGGGTATAAGTTCCACTGGGTGGGGTGAAAAGGTGTCCAGAAATTGGGGCTATTGCTTTCTCCCAGGTTGATGCCACAGAGAGGGGATTGCTCCATTGAAGAAAGGTTGTGTCTACATTATTGGAGAATAGCTTAGCACAGAGATCATGGTGGCTTGCTCTTTAGCTCCCTCCCAAGAGCCAGAAATCCCAGACTCTCTTTACAGGACTCTATTCCACTCTGCCTCCCCTCTGCCACGGCCACAATGAATGGATGCCGACTAAATTTTGTGTTTGCCTTTTAAGCTGTTGCCTGTGTTGTTAGTGGATTCCATCTCTCCCTGGCAGAAAAACTCCGCTACTTTTCACAGCCAGATATGACTTCCTGTTCCCAGCTCTGATACTCTGGGACGGGGAGCCTTACTTGAGCTTCAGACCCCATATTTCTCAGGGTAACCCCCTTCAAGTGATATATCCTTCAGGACACTAGCCACCACCCATGGGAGCAAAGCCACTCCTTTTTGCACCTCTGCCCTTCCTACCTGTATTGATGTGGCTTCTTCTGTAAATCCTTGGTTATAAGACTTCTCTTCAGTTAGTCCTCAGATGGTTAGGTAGGATGATTCTTCTATAATTTAGTTGTAATTCCAGTTTGGTGCTTGGAGGAAGTGAGTGTAGCTTCCACCTACTGAGCCGCCATCTTGGATCACTTAGAGCTGAATCCTTTTCAGTGCTGTTCATTTTTTAATAGTCTCCACTTTTGCTCTTATTTTTCATTGCCAGCATCATGTTTTGCAGTTAAACAGTTAGAAAATTATAAGAAAATTATTTACAGTACAGTAAGCTGTAAAGTGAAATATACCAGTATCCTCAGTGCTAAATTTTAAATCGACAATATCTCATTTGAATGGTCTTTTTTTTTTTTTCCATATTGCTTACTCTCTTAATGTGTGTTTGTATGTTGATTAACTGGATCAAAATTTGGCTTAAGGCAGGTGCAACAAATGGTTTCATTTATACCTTTTAAAGCCTAGGCTGTGATTTGCTCAAGGACTCAGATGGTCCTTGGTCATTGAATAATTAATTCATGCCATTGTTATTGTATAGAGCAAGAACTCCCTTATACCAGGCTCTGAGTATTGAGGATGACAGACCAGCCACTAGAGAAACTTGGGTGACTTTGCAAGACAGACATTTAACAAATTACATTAACAATTCTTTAGAATTTGCTTCCAAACTGTCAAAATAAGTACAGGGTACTTTTCCAGGGGCATCTCTCTGCCTGGGAGACACAAGGGGACTGAAGCTTGAAAGTTGTGGAAAAAGAAGGCTGAGGGAAGCATGTTTCAGACAGAAGGAACAATATAGTAAAGTCTCTGAGGAGAGAAGTGAATGTTTCTAAAGACTGTAAAGCTCCCTGTGGCTGAGGTGTTCTTGGTCGAGTGAAGGGAATCAGGCAGTGTTGTCAGAAGGAGGCAGGGCCAGATCCATTTTTTATGTTTGCATGAAATAAATAAATCTCAAACTTGTATTTTGAACTTTAACCTAAAGGAAGTGTGAAGCCACTAAAGGAAGGAAGTGCCACAATAAGATATTCCCTTTACAAAATGTATTCTGTCTGTTGTAGAGAATGTATTAAGGACTAGTGTAAGGTGGATCAATTGAGATTGAGTAGGAGAGAGAGGTTTGTGCCATTTTGAGGAGGTAGAAATAGTGAGAAGCAAATGGATTCTGGAACTGTTAAAAGATTTGGGCCAATGAACTGGGTGCTTGGTTGTATGAAGAAGATTCACTGGGGAAGAAAAAAGAGTTGAAGTGGACTTCTGAGTTCCTGACAGGAAGACCAGGTAGGTGGAGGAACCATTATTGAGTATGGGCTTCTGAAGATAGGCTCATATTTGTGATTAAATTTCTTGAACTTCTTTTATATTGCATTTGGGGGACTGTGAGAATCCCCAGTAGGTTTTGTGTTTGGACATCAGATGAGAGCTTTAAGCTGTCACAGGAATTTGAGAGTTATCAATGTCCAGATAGTAATTGAGGTCATGGGCAGGAATACAGGCCCTTAGTGTGAACATATGAAGTTCTGAGGAGCTTCAGCATGGAAGAGCCTACGAATGGAGCAGAGCTTGGCATTCTGAGAAGCTGTTAGGAGGACAGTGGTCATGACAGGGAAAGGGGCTTTAAAGAGGGAATACAGGGGAGTTTCCTTACCACTGAGAATCCAAACAGTGCCCAGCATGGGGATAGCACAGAGCATAATCTTAGTACATGGAGGTCAAATTTTCTCTCTCTACTATTCAGATTTGCTCAGACCAGGGTTGGGACCATAATCTATGCACCCATAATGCAAGCTTGTGACTCATTTCTTACCTGAACTCATTTGTCAGCAAAACTTCAGGTTTCATTGGGTTTTTGAAAACCTGATATCATATATCATTTTATTCTGGAATAAGACCATGTTGATTATTTTTATAGCAACTTTAACTTATTGTGGTTACCCAGCCCAGAAATTCTTTCAAGTGCAGTCCTAACATTTGAGATCCATCCCCTGCCCTCCCTATCACTCTGAATCAGAATAAAGATTTATAAACTAAAGTGATACTTGGATTAAGTAGACCCTGGTAAAATACCTTCACCAATTTTCTTGTCCTGACATCTTTCTGTTCATGTCCTAATTTTTGACATAGTTTCTGTGTACTAAAATGGTGATAATGTGACCAGTGATTGCCATTTGATGTAATACTCTGCTAGACTACATGTAAGGGAATGGTGCTCCACCTTGTCTTTCACATTCCTAAGTGAGAAAGGCACCAAGATTAGTCAGTGATATTTTCAGCAGTTTAACTTTAGATCCATTTTCATTGAAGTTGAAGAGGTCTCATGAGTGGAGCATATCAGAATTTTTTTTTAGTTTTCTCAAAGACAGAACT